GAAGTTTAGAGTAGTACTAGTAGGTGGAGTTAGGGAGAAGCTAGTGAGTAATGAGGAAGGGGAGAAGCTGGTGGAGAGGAAGAGGGGAGAAGCTGGTGGAGAAGGAGGAGGGGGAGAACTGGTGGAGAAGGGGAGGGGAGAAGGAGGGGGAGAAGGGGAGCTGGTGGAGGAGGAGGGGGAGAAGGGAGAAGCTCGGGNTCGAGATGGTACAAGTTGTCGTACTTAATTAATCAGAGCATAAACACTCATACACTTCTTACCCACCCTGGATTCACCAACAAGTCCAGGTGAAGGCAAAAAAACAAATAATTTGAGATTAGCATAAGTAACAAAAAAACTGCAAAGATGTAGGTTAATTGTATGTTGAATGTAAACACGATAGATACACACGTACGTATCGATACACATATACAGATACGACCAGATGTATATATAACAGGAACACATAATAGCCGGTATACATAACAGGACATTTTGTCCACCGGATAAGGGAAAAAATAACTTTTTTCTCACGAGATTTCTTTTTCAAGTCTGTGGAAAAAATAGCTCTCGTCAAAAATTTTACGGGAGCTATTTTGAGCCTCACGGGAGCGATTTCGGAGGTTTGAAGAGCGAATCGCTCATCGCTCCCGTGTATATTTTACCCTGCACCTGATACTACACACGTCTCGTGAGTGCAGCTCTCACCTTCTTGCTAACGGTCGCGTGAAGGCTACTGACAAACAGCACGTCAGCCTTGGGTAGATACTGCGGCAGCATCTGATAGAGGTAGGTACACAGCAGCAGCATCGCCACCGGGTTAGGATCCGTTAAATCGATCGCCTGAAACACAAGAGCGTTCAGTAGTGGCGTCGCACGGCCTACACGACCACGCTCTCAGCAGCGCGATAGTTTACTGCATTGATTCCTATTTCAAATTCGATTATCACTCATACATTGTGACTAGATTGTAAATTTGGAGATATGTGAATAATGCTTGGGGAATCTTTGATATCGATTAGAAAAATTATACTAAACAGATTTTCGTCAAATCCAGTTCTGAGACACGACTGGTAGGATCAGATATACTATGAGTATCTCAGAAATAGCTATAATTATAATGCCCACCATAAGTATAAGCATGGTAATAATGTGTACACATTACTGTATGTATTATAATTATAGTGGTTCTATGAGTATCTCAGAACCACCATAATTATATACCAAATTGTATATATCCATTGCAATAATGTGTGAACTTCAAGGCAACTTGCTGGATCAATATGCTCAAGTTCTCACTCACTGCCAACCATAAGCCAGAAAGTGTACAACAACTTAACAACCAACACCAATATCACGCAATCTCGATGACGTCAGTGGTGTGATAGCAAATGCTGGTCTTCACCGTGACAACGCCTGAGTCAACGATTCAAAATGCGCTAGTTAAGAGTAATACCTAGTAATTTATATCTGTTATTTGTATTAGCAAGTGCAGTATCTTATTAATTAACATTAAGTATATTAGAAAGCGAACAAGATTATAATATTTCTCTCATCACCTATAAATCATTGGTACGACACAGCATATGGGAGTCCAATCAGTCTCAGTCCATAGTTCCTATTCTCTGTCTTTAGTGACCTACACACATGTAGCATCACGTAACACTACATGCTTGCTAACATTTTTGTGTCAGGCAGGATAAAATGATCATAAAGGTTAGTTTACTAGATCAACCAAGCAGTCACTACGGTACTCCCTCGCCTAATTTTTTTTTTATTCGTGATGTTAATCTGGTGTGATGCAATTTACAGTGCCAATAAGTATTTTTAATTGAATTGAGAATTTAAGTTAATTAATTTAATTTATGCTTCAGGCCGGTTCAGCGTGAGATGAAGAACTACTGGATCTGTTCCCAGAGATCGCAGATGCTTTCAACATCACGCGCAAGATCGGAGAGGGTAGGTGACACTTGCACTCGCGATCATCGAAGCAGTTAGGCATGTGTCAATGTTGCTTACTAGCTGCTGATCCAGGGTCCCCGTTGTCAGAAAGAAAATTAGTTTAAACATTAGTTCTTAAAGCATTTAAGCTTTTTTCTTAGACTCGTCGTCAGAACACGCGCAAAGTTACCTGAAGAAATCGTAAGCCGAATTTCCGTCGTGACAATAGAAACAAAGTGATGTGGACGGTTATACGAGAAATGTTAGTGTAAGACTTAATGGTAAGCTAATTTTGTTTCTGAAACGGGCGCAGGGCTTAACACTGGTTACGTCCGGCGTTGCAAACGGGAGGTAGCAATGCTCGGTGTGTGTAGTTCGTGTTGTGTGTAGCCACAGCGAGCAGCTGTTATACGACACGCTCAACGATGATGATCAGCACGCCAGCTCGCCTTAGGCGTCCAGTCAGCAGCAGCTCGCCTTAAGGCGTCAGACCAGCAGCAGCAGCAGCAGAGAGCCAGCTGTTATACAATGTATACATGTTAACGCTCGCAGAGGTATGCACTCTTGTTTGAGATGCCCTCTGTTTGTTAACTTATTCCGTTTGAGTGGGAAGGGAAAGCAGCACAGATTTATATTCGGGCGTGACAGATTCTATTAGCTGTTACATATAATAGTTATGTCATTGATCTGGCATCACAGCCCATCTTGCTCTTCCATTAGTACGCTGGCAATCTATAAATCCCGAACTCGACAATTTGATTTCTTAAAATAAGTAGCTTTTTAATTAAAATTTTTTATAAATGTAAGCATTTTTTTTTATAAACAAATCGATAGATAAAACAGTAATATCATGGCTATTTCTGATACATATAGGAAGTTGGGAACGTAACCGGGCCAAGCTTACGCGTTCGTGATGGGGGCGGTTGACTGGGTTTCAACGATCATTGCAGGTACGTTCAGCTGTGTGTTGTGGCGATCGGTAAGCCGCGCAACGGTGAGCAGCAAGTTACGGCGGTGAAACACGTCGTGCAGGAGTCTTCGCAGCGCTTCGAGATACGAGCTGCGAATGCGTGACGCTGGGGTGAGTCGCATGTTAGCTTCTTACTCTGGCTCCCTCGGTAATTGTCATGCTTCGCATCGTGTATTTCATGCCTCTCGTTGTGTTTGGTGTTAGCAACTGTTACAAGTGTGACATGCCTGAAGTCGTCAATCCCGCATCGTTTTAGCTAATAGGCTCTCCATCCCATCACTTAGCTATACTCTCCATCCTCATATAGCTATACTCTCCTCGTCGTTTAGGTATACTTGCTGTCGTTAGCTGCTACTCTGGGCTGGCCGTCGTTAGCTTATTATCTCTCCGTCGTTAGCTGTACTCTGCTGTCGTTAGCTACTATTCCTAATCATGTTAGTTACTATTCCAATATATGTTAGGAATATCCAGAGAGACGGAAGTACAAGATGGCATTGCGGCAAAAGATGCGTTGTTCCGAACGCGAGAGGCGGTTAAGTCGCACACTTCCGCGGACTGGGGCGCACGCGACCAGAGGGATGTTGTATGTAGCATCTCGCGCTGGCGTATAACGATTCAGCGGCGCCGAAGGAAGGAGGGCGGCCGGAATTCGTATAGCGGAAGCGTAACATGCGAAGTTTCGTCATACGTCACGGATCGGTACAGGCAGGTCCTTGGGTGAATGAGCGGCGGGTGGTCGCTGTAGTGACAGCATTTCTTGGGGTTTCTTGTGGAGCTACTACGTGTTACCTCGTACTTATAGGGGCGTTTGGAGATGGCTTACACGTCGATGGCAAAATGTCGTTGGATTCACCGGTTTTCGGCAGAGTTTGTTTTCAGACGGCCTGTCTACTATCTGTCTAGTGGAAAAAAAAGGGGGCGGCGTATGCTGTAGGGGCGGCGGCTTCGGCGCGAGCTGGTGGGCTGAGTGATAAGGGGCCGCTGTCGTCCAGCAACTACATACAGGAAGGTTAGTCTACTCCCTGGCATTGTTAAGAGTTGGATGAATTGGACAAATTTCGCATTATCAACGACAAATGCGGAGTGTAAACGAAAAGTCGCGGGGAGTAACTGGTAATAGTAACTACTAGTTGGGAGATTAAAATGTTTATTTTGCCACGTCGTGTTGCGAGTTTGCGCATTGGTCCAGCTCGCATTTGACAACGTAAGTCGGTAGTCGTAAACACTGAAGGCGAAGACTGCTGTGAATTGAAGCATGCTAGCTACTGTCTTTAGAGCAGGGGTTGCTAGCATTTAGGCAAGATGCGAGAAAGAGAGTGTTCATAATATATCTCATTGTGCGTCTTAGCTATCAAGTCACGACTAATCAGTTTTAGGGGTAGAAGTAACTCCATGTTATCTAAATTATATCATAAGTATATTGTGTGATTGACTTTATGCTTCATGGAGAATAGAGGTGAATTGAGGTAATGGAGGAACACAGTAAAAGGATTGATGCTGATCGGGTAGTGTATATTTAACGGCTGTTCGTCGGTTGCACGTCTTTCACGTTACATGTAGTGCGATAACCTTTGCACTTGCTCAGGTAACGTTCCGCCCGCACGCTGGGGTCCGTGAATCTTGACGGCAGGACCTCCAGGATGGATTGGTGATGGCCACCTGCTTGCAGCGTATTGTCCATTCTTGTAGGTTCGCATACTTAATATAAGTGACAGGGCCTCAAGTAGATGAGAAGATATCTTGGTAGTTTTTTTTTTTAATTATTACTATTTTTTTACTGTATTATACTGTAGATGACAAGCGGAGCTATTGCTACTGCTGTGTTGTTTTGGCTGTGGTTGCTGGCTCGTATTGGTGTGCTGCTGGCTGCTGTGTGCTTGCTAGTTGCTGCTGCTGCTGCTGCTGTTGTGCTGGCTGTTGCTGTGCTGCTGCTGTGCTGTACTGCACGGGCACTACCACAAATATTTATAATAACACGAACAATCATTAGAAGCATAAGTTATGCATCATCATCATCATCATCATACATATTTATTGCGGTGGCATTCTAACGTCGAACGCTGCATTAGTCATGCTACCTGCTAATATAAGAACACCTGTTGTCTCACGTTCAGCGTGGATATGCACCTGGCAGGGATGTACTCGCCGCAGACTCTGAGCAGTGGTCTGACAACTCCTCCTCCGCATCGTCAGCATCTTCCGATTCGTTGTAATGGCTTACACGGAGATATACCGGCGTTGTCATGGCTACCAGTGAGATACATACCCGNCACGAGCGTGCACGCACGCACGCACGCACATGCACACAGACACGCACGCACGCATGCACGCATGCACGCATTCACACACAGACAAGCACGCATGCGCGCACACACAGACACGCATGCACGCACACACACACACACACACACACCTGAGGAACTTGAGCAGGGCGGCGTACTGCAGCACAAGCTGTGACACCTCGGCAGGTGTCTGCGGGCCGGACACACCCTTCACCTGCAGGCCCGGCACCGCGCGTCCACACAGGTGCGTCACAACGTCAAACACGATGCCGCTGACCATGCGCGAACGACCGATCACCTGTGAGGCCAGCTTTGGAAGAATGTCACTGTAACATGGACAGGATGTATTAGCAGCGAGAGATGGATGCTACACGATGGTGGAGAGATATTTTAATATAATAATAATATATAATATGATATAATATATATTAATAATAATATGTAATATGATATAATATATAATAAATTAATAATATAATAAATTTCAGATATATGTCAACTCCTCAGCGATTTTCACCGTGAATTCATTATAGAATTGGCTGCATTAAGAATGTCATGAATTTTATCTGATGTGAAGGAGCGTGAAGTGAGATAACTGCACCCCTATCGATAATAGATTCCCTGATAATACTGCTAAGTCAGCCAAGCTCCCGTTGGCACAATTTTCCATTTTTGACTTTGCGGCACTTCAACACTGCGCATTGTCTTTAGAATGTCCTACCACAATGCTGATTGGTTAAAGCTGCCTGCCAATCATGTCAGCGCAATTCGATGATACAGTCAAGTGAAGGTATGCCATGAAGTCAAGGTTATGGAAAGATTAACGATGAAGGTTAACGATGACAACGACGTACCTGATGAGCGTGTCGGGGATGTTGAGAGGGTGGGGTCCGCTAGCCAGCCCATGCAGACTGAAGTATCGTTGAACCGCAAACAATACCTGAAAACAACAAACAACACCTGACAACAACAACACCTGACAACAACAAACAACACTTGACAACAACAACAACACCTGACAACAACAAACAACACCTGACAACAACAAACAACACCTGACAACAACAAACAATACCTGACAACAACAAACAACACCTGACAACAACAAACAACACCTGACAACAACAAACAACAACAACAACAACACCTGACAACAACAAACAACATGGTGCTTACATCCATCCACCTATCCATCCATCTGCCCACCCACGCATTCATCAATCTGTCCAGTTATCCACTGATCTATCCATTTCTCGACCATTACACCCATCCGTCCCCTCATCTATCTAGTTTTTTTGGTATCTATCTATATATCAAGAGCGTATTAAGGTCTTCTTAATATTCTCTTGATATATATCTATATGTGTACCTACACCTATAGCTATATCTATACCTGTACATACATCTATATCTATATCTATATGTGTACATACACCTATTATCTATATATACATCTGAACCTAAACCTATATCTATATATCTATATCTGTATCTACACTTATATCTATATCTATATATCTATATGTGTATCTACACTTATATCTATATCTATATCTATATATCGACATCTGTGCCTACACCTACATCTATATCTATATGTGTATCTACACTTATATCTATATCTATATCTATATATCGACATCTGTGCCTACACCTACATCTATATCTATATGTGTATTTACACTTATATCTATATCTATATCTATATATCGACATCTGTGCCTACACCTACATCTATATCTATATGTGTATTTACACTTATATCTATATCTATATCTATATATCGACATCTGTGCCTACACCTACATCTATATCTATATCTGTATCTACACTTATATCTATATCTATATATCTATATCTATATCTGTATCTACACTTATATCTATATCTATATAACGACAGCTGTGCCTATATATATACACCTACATCTATATCTATATCTGTATCTACACTTATATCTATATCTGTATCTACACTTATATCTATATCTATATATCTATATCTGTATCTACACTTATATCTATATCTATATCTATATATCGACATCTGTACCTACACCTACATCTATATCTATATGTGTACCTACACTAATTATATCTATATCTATCAGGAGTAGATAATAGGAGGTCTAATCTAAAGGAGTAGATAATAGCCTATTATCTACTCCTGATATCTATCTATATCTATATCTGTATCTACACTTATATCTATATCTATATATCTATATCTGTACCTACACTTATATCTATATCTATATCAAGAGCTAATAATAGCTAGAGTGTACAACTACACCTGTATCTATATCTATATCTACATCTGTACCTACACCTGTATCTATATCTATATCTACATCTGTACCTACACCGATATCTATATCTATATCAACATCTGTGCCTACACCTACACTTATATCTATATCTATATATCTATATCTGTACCAACAACTTTATCATAATTAAGCTACCATGTCGTCAGCATGATAACAGTACAAGGGGATACTCCATCACGACGCACCTCTGTGTGAAACAGGCCGTCGTCACTATCAAGGTCCGGGAAGACGGATGACCCCAGGTGGCAGCACTGGTCGCCTTCGCTGCTGAAGGGTTCCGACACAGCCGTCGTACACGTGTATGTGCGGGCGGACACTGCACGAACACCAACGCTCTCAATCAAGGTCAAACTCCCAAGTCACAAGGTCACCTTTTAATCTCACATTACAAGTAATCGTCTTTCATGCAAAGATCTGAGATAATGATGCAGACGACGACAATGACAATGATAGCAGTAATATTGATTATTAATTGTTATAATAATAACAATAATGTACATTCTTCTTTTACAGTTCTTCAACAACTTCTCTGTGTGTAGTATATAGTGTATATATTATATTCTATGAGTATATGAGTATATATATTCTAGTGTATAGTGCGCAATTCGCATCTACAATAATTACGGCAATATAATGATTAATGACTTTGACACGAACCTGTGCGACCATCGTTGTCGCTAAACATCGACCCGCTCGGCTGGAATGCTGAGTTTGTCGTAGCGTTTGTGCTGGCAGGCGTGGGCTCTCTTATCCCACAGCCGGGCTTGTCTCCTTCCCTCGCACCCTAAACGCAAACACACACACACACTATCTACTACTGTATACGCCATATTTTTCGCGTACAGATATTTTCGCGAATTCAGACTTGACGGACAATTTCGCG